CAGGCTAATTAATAGAGAGAGAGAAAGAGAGGAGGTTTACCGTGTTTCCCCGAAAATAAGACAGTGTGTTATATATATATACGTGTGTATTTTATGAACATTTTTAACACATCAATTTTTATATGATCATGGTTCATGCACAAAGTGTATGATTTTTTGCCATATTTAGACATATACAGTACTTAACCATATGGCTGCCCAACACTTGTTTTGTTTGGCTGTTGACATCAATAGTTTTTCCCATATTCCCTTTGCATGATTATCTATAAGTCATAGAATAATAATATAAACCATGTCTAGAACAGCTTTAAATGCTAGTCACCCTGAATGTGGACCCCTTCGTAAGAGACTCACACTTGGACAATTCCATATGTACATTGTAAAGGGTAGGATCCATGTACAATTTGGTTCAATTGATATGATACTTGTTATAGTATAATTAGATTGCTTTTGTGGCATTAAAAAGCAAAAAACAAAACACTGAAAGTACTTGTAGAAATTACAATTTGGAGCTCAGTTTTATTTATTGAAGTGGCATGAGTACTGTGTCACAGTCTTTGTCAGGTAGCCTACCCAATTAAGGTCCCTGCCCTAAATCTTTGTAAACCACTGTATTCCTATCACTTAAAAAAAAAGGCTCAGATTGAGCTGCACATTGTTCTTTCACTAGAACAGTGGTTCTCATTCTGTGTAAACTCGGGACCCACATTTGTCCTTGGTCATTAAGTGGCGACCCATGTTGCACCGCACTGGAACGCACAGCATTTCGGTACTACATGTGGACTGTGGACGGGAGGTGCGTTTGGGGTGCCATTCAAATGAATTCAGGGCTTGTTCACACCATGTCCAGACCAGAACAGTTTGTTCCCGGACCAAAAAAGCATCCCAATGTATCACTACGGTATTTCTAGGCTTTGTTCACACCAGAGCAGTCCGTTCTGGACCAAGCAAAAAAATACTGCTCATCTCATTTTCTCTGGCCTGGAATGTAATGAAATGCATTAAAACATACAAACGCATGCAAATGTGATGGAACGCACCGGTAAGCCCATTTTAAGCTTTAAAAAAAATTGCTGTAAAAACGTGGCAAAAGTATGTTGAGACCTGTAGTTAACAGCTGAGGAGTCTCCATTTTGTCTAGTTTAGTCTTAGGCTGGGCACACACCTTACAAGCATCGCAAGACTTTTGTCTTGCGATGGTTGTAAGGTACTTAAAAAAACGTACGATCTGCCCATCTTGGACAGGCAGATCGTACTTGCGATGATCGCAAGCCACGCCCCCTGAGGGGCAGGCTTCCGATGACCGCAATGCTGAACGGGCAGTGTGCGCTTGCGCACACCGGCCCATCCGGCTTTTATCGTATGAACATGCTACACACCCGTCGAACATCGTACGATGCTCGGCGGGTTTTCGAACATGTTCGTAAGTTAAAAGTCGTGCGACCTTACAGTAGTAGAGGTCGCACGGCTTCCACACACCTTACGATAATCGTACGATCGCGGGATTTCCTGCGATTATCGTACGATTATTGCAAGGTGTGTGGAGACCTTTATGTACAACCTTTGTAGTGTTGAGTTTTGCAATTGGACGGCAGTTTTAGAAGAGTTAATAGCTCAAGGATGTGGAATCAAATGCATGCAAATTGTTATGCAATTAGAGTTTTATTACCAGTTCTTGTGTGCTGCTGACAAATGAAATTCTCCCCACTGCGTTGCCCTCATTTGATCAATAATAGGATGATTGAAGGACATGAAACATAGCTAATGAAATGTCCGCTGCCTGATTTCTCACTCTTTTCTTCTCTTCAAGTGAAGATGTCCGTTCCGCCAACATCATAGCCGATGAGGATGACACGCATTGCCTTGTCGTTGACAGAGAGTGAGTATTTTACTGTTTGCTAAAGCTAAAAGTAATCTGACACAGTTCATTATAACACATTATAACATATTTAAAAAGTGTAAACATTTTTTTTTTTTATCAGTGAACAAACTAAGCCCAAACTACCTGCATATAGCATGGGGTTTTATGTGAAACAGCTGTTGGGAGGGCATCATTTCTTATTCAGTTTGCTGGGTTATGAAATAAAAATTAAAAAAAAAGTTAAGTGTAGCTCTTCTGAAGTGAAGAAATGCAGGTCATATACACAGTGCTTTTCATTTAATGCTGAACTCCAGATATAAAGATGAAGTACAGGAGCTATTTTATGTGCCAAAGGTTCCGTATTCCTGCCTAGTTGTGCCTCAGATTTACATAGCCTGTCACAAAGCATAGCAAGCCTGGTGACCTGACTTTTCTCTGCTCTCAATGGCCATACACTGCTTTATTTTTTTTCATTCAACCTGCAGGCTGAAAGAAACAAAATAGTGCAGATTCCTCCATCAACGTTATGACCGCGTTGATCGAGAAATCACCGCTGTTTCTTTTGTATAAGGCCACATATACCCTCAGCTGTCTATATCTCTGGTTCTGCAGATTGCTTTAGCATATAGTTTTCAGTGAGGGTAACAGCTGCATTTGTAATTTATAGCCAGGCTTGTGATAGTTTTTTTTTTAATGCCTTCATTTTTACTTTTATTTTTGTTTTTCATGACCAGCACTTTTAATCAGATGGTTGGAACCTACCAGGAGCTACAGACATATTTGCGGGAGTATGTGTTCCAGCTGGCACTTAGTGACCACGACCGAAGAAATGCCAGGTACTCTTTCATATGACAATCTTAATATGAAATAATAAATAGCCATGATTAGAGGAAACTTTCTAAAGGTTAGTTGAAGCTTCAGTTTGTATTACTGTATTGCAGTCGGGCTGCATAAACAGTAATAGATATGGGCATCTTTTTATAAAAACTAGTCTGCAACGGTTAACAGGAGATCCAGAGCACTGCTAATCACAGAATGCAGTGGTCCAGGACTCCAGCAGTTTGGCACACCCCTTGCTCAGTACGCCAATCAATAGAACTCATGTTCTCCGAGCAGGCTGCCAGCAGAGGGCATTTTAACCCTAGCCGCAGCACACTAGTTTATTAAAAATATTTTTAAAAGACTCCCGTATCTATTTCTGTTTATGCTGCCTGACTGCATTACAGTTACATAAAACTGAAGGTTTAATTTGGCTTTAAACACACCACATATTGGGTCTAATTTAGTTCTGCACTTTAAAAGCAAGCATAGTGTTGTGAGTTATATACCATTTGACTGGACCAGTTTTACTGTCGAGATCCAACCTGCTGGCTGATTGACAGCAGGCTATGCCTATCAAGAGGTAGAGCCAGCTATGTCCAACAACCCCCCCTCCCATCCGTCCCCTCCAGTCATCGCTGGAGGATCGGAGAGGGGAGGGAATCCCTGTGTCAGTTACCGCTCTCTGCAGGGAGATGAACGGGAGGTGAGCGAGCGACGGTATGTGTTCGCTCACTTCACGATCAATGGAGCCGATGAGTGACAGTTTCAATGTCGCACGTTGGTTTTAACTATGGGGGCAAGTGTAATTCAATCACCCCATAGTTCTCCTTTAAAGGCCTTAAAAGGTTTTTAACTACTTGTACAGCTGCCATGTTTGTTATGTCTTTACAGTGGATGTCAAACTGAACAATGAACTACTGTACTCTTTTGAAAAATGTAAACAAAAATTCCTGTTTCTGTGTTATCTCAAAGTGCCCTGCTAGTTCCTGTCTTGATATTACAGAATAATTAGCGTCTATGTTGCAGAGATAGGAGAGTAGGTGGGTTTGAATAGTTTAGCAAAAGGCAACTGGGCAAGGCTGACACCACTTAATCTACAAAAATGCTGTGTGTTGTCAGCCCACAACATAACTTAGGAACTGAATGCATTTCTGGCAGATAAACAGGTATTTTCCTGTACTTGCAGTGTCTTTAAAGGGATAAAACATGGGGAAATGTATATGTATTGATAAGATGTACTGCATATTTTGCCCTGACATACACTTTAAGCCTGCAGAGATCACTGTAAACACCCAAAGATGACAGAGCTTGCAGGTGCATTCAGCACCCAGTGTGAGCTGTGCACTGATGGACGCATTTATGAAATACATATTTTTTGCTATATTGCATGAGGCATGTATAAACTGCAGCTGAGGCTTGTGGATTTCAACTTTTACAGCAAAATAAATATAATGTAAACATATGGTAAATTGCCAGCATAGCTATGAAAGTAAACATTAATAATCACAATGGCAGTGTATACAGCAGGTTTCCTGCCTGCCAAACAGAGGGTCATCAAGAAGGTTACAACAATTTTAATGGAATCCCATTTTCTGCCATGCAGATAATTATATTTCACACCCCATATTTGGGACTGAGGTAAATGGACAAAATTGGCTTTTTCAATCGCCACCAACTAATTTTTATTTGCATTGCTACCCATAAATGTGATTAAACGTGTCTGAGCAGCATTAAAAATTCATTGCTCAATGCCCTGCGTCCAGTAACATGGCAACAAACTCCATCTCCTCTCCTCTTTAATGCATGAATAAGTGCTCTTTTCAGGCCAAGCAGGTTGTATTAAATTGTGTCACAAGTGAAGTGTTTATTAACAGGCATTGGGCTTCTCATTAAATCTCATCAGATATATTATTAAAGTACAAGCTGATTCAGGAAGAGAACTTTGTATCATAAAAAGAAAACATTTACAGAATAAAACTAAGTATTGAGTAGGCACACTGGCTTTAACTGATGCAGACACCAAAGCATGCCGAGAGTGTACACTAAGCCGTATATATGTAGGTCAATGTATGCTGTATAGACGTTTACGAGCAGTAAGATAAGAAACCATTATTGCAGGAAAGGCACAGTATGCCTTTTCTGAAATAAAAAGGCATTCCTGTTTGCATTTTGTTAAGTAACATTTTACTTTAAACCAGTGGTGTAACCTGAGTTACAGTCATCTTTGATATTGAATGGAACCTCTGCAAGATTTTGCTGATTGGCGACCACAACTTTGTCCCTACAAATCATCTACATCACCTTTTCTGTCTGCTCCAGTTTTGATAAATTCCCTTCTATGTATGTTATGACTTTCAGGGCTAGTTCACACCAGTTCCAGTGCGTTCCGGCCCGATTCATGCTGGAACGCACTGGATCGCATCCCGGCCGCCTCACTGCATTCTGGGGTGGGAGGGTTGCATTAAAGTCAATGGCAACGCAGGTACGCCCCCCGGCCGCCGTGTGATCTCAGGAACACATGGCAAATCAATGTCAGTGTTCTGGTCTCTCTGGGCCCCCCCAAACTGGCGGAACACCAGGGCCCGGTCGCAAATGCGACTGATGCAGCCCTGGTAGTTTCGCCAGTGCCGCTATCTGCGTTTAGTATTGGGTCATTTTCACGAGTACGAGTGCTTGTGAAAATGCCCAGTATTGGCACAGGTGCATCCCTACTTAATACAGGTGAAACTCGAAAAAATTAGAATATCGTGCAAAAGTTAATTTATTTCACTAATGCAACTTAAAAGGTGAAACTAATATATGAGATAGACTCATTACATGCAAAGCAAGATAGTTCAAGCCGTGATTTGTCATAATTGTGATGATTATGGCTTACAGCAGTGGTTCTCAACCTGGGGGTCGAATGACGATTTGCCAGGGGTCGCCTAGCGGCTTCCGCCACCCAGGAGAGAAGCACTTGCTCTGCTCTTTTTTTTTCTGACATCGGGCCCGCTGTCAGTCAGAAAAAGAAAAAAAACGTTCTCATCATGCAGACTAAACCTTTCCAGGAGATTTTTTTTTCAAAGTACTTTTTTTAAAAGTAAACCTGCCGCTCCGTGTGCACAGTGAGAGGCGATAGCAGTCTTCCCCTCTCACCTGTCACAGAAGTTCCAGAAATGAATTTTTGCACGATATTCTAATTTTTCGAGTTTCACCTGTATAATGTATTGCTGGGACTTGCAGTCCTGCATAGTTGGTTGTATTCAGCATTGCTGTATAATCATTATACACCTATGCAGCACACCACCAGCTATACATCGGAACTCTCGGAAGACCCGGAAGCCGGCGGAGAGGTGAGTAACGTTCAAAAGAATTTTGATCGATCAAAAAAATTAACGATTAATCGAGGGATTAATCGTTACTTTCCGCAGCCCTAATATATATGTATATATACATGCATACATACATACAGAATCTTTTAATGCAATAGCAGTAGACTCAGGACACTGCAACGCAAATAGACTCAGGACTCTGGAACGCAAATAGATTCAGGACTCTGCACCGCAAATAGATTCAGGACTCTGCAACGCAAATAGATTCAGGACTCTGCCCCTCAATGGACTCAGAACTATTTATTTAACTATAACATTTAATCATTATTTAGTTAATTAAATATTAATTATTTATTAAACATTAATTTTTTCATTACATGTTTAATTTTCCTGCTGTCCTGATCCAGATATTTTCATGCAAACAATTAGGGGGGTGGCATTGGTTTTTATTCCAGTAAACTACAGTCATTTTCAATATTAGTAAAATCTCTAATTCTGGCAGAGCAGCCCTCAGTGAGCAGAAGCATGTCATCTCCTACATTTTCAGCATGAGGATCTCTGGATTGGTGGTACAGCGGTCAGTATAATGTATGTAATTATACTCTTCTCCCTCCAATACAGAGACTTTTACAGCCTGGAATGCCTCTTTAGGCCTTTCAGTACTTGGAATGTATGTGCCGGCAAGCTTTTCATATGGCCCACAGATATCACAAATATTGTAGGTGAGCAGTGCAAGAAAGAGCAGTATGTCACAGACTTCA